CCGGGTTCCCCTTTTCCGCGGCCGGGGGGGGGGTACCCCTCCCTCCGAGGCCAGTGCGGACCCCGCCAGGTCAGTCACAAGGCCAAATTTATATAAGCAAGTAGATTAAATAGATGGTGATTAATTTGTTTGCACAATCTGCATAAGCTATTTTAAATTCACAGATGACCTCTTACCTGTCTGTTTTAAGCTTTGCAGACCTCCTGAAATGAGCTATTGCTTGCTCTGACCATTTAGAGTCCCTCCGAGGCCAGTGCGGACCCCGCCAGGTCAGTCACAAGGCCAAATTTATATAAGCAAGTAGATTAAATAGATGGTGATTAATTTGTTTGCACAATCTGCATAAGCTATTTTAAATTCACAGATGACCTCTTACCTGTCTGTTTTAAGCTTTGCAGACCTCCTGAAATGAGCTATTGCTTGCTCTGACCATTTAGAGTTGAGACATTCCTAACTGTGAACTGAGCTGTATAACAATCTGTTTTTCACTACAGCAAACCCACAACAGTTTAACATGACAAAACAAATAAAGGGAAGCAAAGATACAATCTGCTGCTGATTGCTTTTGAGACCAGTTTTCAACACTGCTACGTTTTGTTGATTTTTTCATTACTTTAAATTGCTAAGAAGTGCTTTGGGTCTGCTGAAAAAGAAACCATGAGCTAGCATTGGAAGTTGTCAAAGTTGGCTCACCTTGAACCTGATCCTGCAAGATCCTGAGACCTTCCAGAAAATTGCTGAACTGCCTCCAATTTCATTAATTTGTCCACTCAGCACCTCACAGGATTGAACTCTGCCATTCTGCACAACAGAGTTTCCCTTTGTCATTCATTGTTATACAACGCTTCAAACAAGCAAAAAATAAAAATAAACATTCACTCATGTGGAGGAGGTTAATTCAAAAGAAAAAGATATAATGAACATTGTAGCATTCTAATGACAAACTGAATTGTCCAGTTTTCTAGGCAGCAAATGCACACCTGAACTGTGATTCTGATCTGCTATTGTTTTTGTTTATGGCTCCAGATGATGGACCTGTGTTCTGTTTACTTATCCCAGCTCAACAAGAGCACTACCTTGAAGAGAATGAAAAATGCAACCTCAATGCATGCCACAGACATTTTACATAACAAGCAGGACAGCACGTCAAAGGATTTACTGTGAAATCATTTTGCAATCCAGCATATGACTGACATCCATAGACCACTTGCAACAGAGCTAGCATGTATTTCATGGGCAGTTGTTCTCAAATTTTTAAAACCAAGGAAAAATTGTATACTGGGACTGTTTTTTCAACCTGTTTGGTACGTTTTTTGCATTCTGTCCCATGTGCGTTTTACACAACTTAGAATAATAAATATAAATTTAAAACAAAATGCTCTAACAAAAAAAATGCCCAGTATTACAGTACCATCAATTTTCAAGAAACCAAATAATACAACTACAATCCTGTTTACAAATGAGTTCTTTTTTTAATTTCAGATCTTTGTGAGGGGACTTATGTTATATACCATATATATAATATATATAAAGTATATAGATTGTTTATTTGTAAATAGCAACAACAAAACCAACCAGCCCGATGGAGAAGAATGTCAAATTTTCGCACCTATAAAAACATCATCAACATAAAGCCATGTTTAACGCTTGTATAATGTGATGCAATAACTTTAAAATAAATTATGCATATGAAATCTTTGCCGTTGAGCTTTTGTGCTTATCTAATTTTAAACAGGATGACAAACCTGAGACAAAATACAAATGCAAAATTACCAAGAATTTGTCTTAATGCTTTCTCTCTGGCTGTGTCTAGACTGCATCCCTCTGCTGACAGAGGGATGCAAATCAAGCACTTTGGAAGTGCAAATGAGCCTGGGATTTAAATATCCCGGGCTTCATTTGCATACAAAAAATGAGGAGTACAGGATCTGCCAGAAAAGCTCCCCGCTTTCAGCAGAGCTGCAGCTACACTTTACTCTCACTTTTGAAAGGGTGCGTGATTAGCACAGCGTCCAAACGTGAGTATGCAAATGAAGCCTGGGATATTTAAATCCCGGGCTCATTTGCACTTCCGAAGTGCTTGATTTGCATCCCTCTATCGGCAGAGGGATGCAGTCTAGACGTAGCCTCTAAGTCCACTGCGTATTTATTTATGCTGATCAATTAAATTCTCCCCAGTCATTTGTATAGAAGGACTCTTATCCCATGAAGTGCTGGTTGGCCTCTGGAAGCATTGAGCATACTCAATTCCCATGGATTTCATAGATGTTGAGGGCATTCAGCACCTTGATCCCAAATCAGAACAGATAAAAGTGGGGATTTTTCAGGCAAAATTCCCTGGCTGTGGATACCCTTAAGAACGAACAAGACAAGATTCTGGAGGAAAAAATTGGTCTCAGAGTCACAAATGTATTTGATGGACCAGGTAATTAAAACAATCAGACAAAAAAAAGCAAGGGGATCAGGAATCACTACATTGATCAGAAGCAACACCTTGAATCTAACTAGTAAGGAACCCAGTAACTCAGTGACCCCCACCATCCTCTGCAAAGTCCCAAGAGTGTTTGCCTATAAGCAAATACAGCCAAGGCATCAAAGCAGATTACTAACAGTCACCTCAGAGACACAGACTCTCTACCAGCCCACCCATCCTCTCCTCTTGTGGGTTTCTCAGCCTGCTCTGGTTTAAATAACGATCCCTGTTCTCCCACCCAGACAAATTGGGGGAGATAATGTAATAGCACTTCCACACCCTAGCCTCCAATAGCTAGCCTAACCTTAATAATTTGTCTCCCTAGATGGACTCTCCCAAACTAGTTACATAAGAACCGAAATGAGTAAGTGCCTCCTGCTCACATAAATTAGCCATCCTGCCACATAAAATGCAAGGTTAGCGTAATATATATGTTAACATAGACATGGACAGCAGTTTGGTGACAAGGACAGATGACAGCAGGCTTATGTGTACATTGCTCAAGAATGGTCTGGGTTAATGCAGAGGAATTATTATTCTGTGTCATATTCCATGCACACTTTACCATACAACTAAAAAGACAAGGGGGAACAGCAGTGCTGTGAGATCAAGGCATCGAACCGCAAGGAGACAGCAGGTTGGTTGACATCCAATTGAGCTCAAGCATTTGACCAGCATTGACAGCTAGTATTCAAAGAGCAAGCAACTTACCACTGTGAAAATTACCCTTGTTGCTTGAATAGCTAGAACTGGGCTCCCAAAGACTCTGCTGCATATTGTAAGGAGACCCCTGACAGTGTCCATGTATCCCGTCTGGACACTACATAGTACTGTCTTCTGTTTCAGCTAGACCAGACTAACACGGCTACATCTCTATTACTATTCTCTGGTGAAAAGAGATTTCTCACTTTGGCTCTAGGTAGCTGTTCACCATACTTTAGCTCTCACTTCTCCACTAATCATTTCTCACTGTGGAATTGCAGCAGAGCAAGAAGCGACTTAATTTATTTGTTTGCCTTTCCGAACATGTGTCAACAGTTGCCCTTGATGTGAAACATGTTCAAATATATCCTCTTGCTGATGAATAAGGGCTAAGGGGCCCGAAATGTGGACAGGAAGAGGTTCATGTCATTCAAAAGTCTTACTTCATGGCGCAGGTCAAGTTAAAGCCCAAGAAGTGACTTCAAATAATGTTCAGACTATGGGATTATTTCCAATAAATTACTTTAATTCACAATATTTAAGGGCAAGTCTGTGACATTACAATTTTTTGAATACAGGATTATGGAAAACATTGGTTTGATTAAATATGGTTTGATGAAAAAAGGATGAAGACAACGGAAACCTAAACAGTTTGATCCAGTGTCAGATAAAATGTACACAGTACTCTAGAGTAAAATACAATAACATACAAACAGATATTTCGTAATAATCACTTGCAAACTGCTAGCCTGAGAAACACATTCAAATATAAGTTTATCAATACAGCAAACTTTCTATATAGCATGTGCAGTACTGTGCAGCAATATGGTCAGGGAAGCAAGTTCAGAAGCCTTAGCATCTGATCCCAGCCCTTCCACTGATTTGCTACATGATTTTGAACATGTCACTTAATTTCATCATGCGTCAGGTCTCTCTGTAAAACGAGGATCCTGCTACTTACCTGTGTTGAGCTCCATAGGTGACAAGTACCACTGAAGATTTGATTGTTATGATTTAGTACCTCAACAGTGCTTTTAAACTGAGATGCAGCATTTCTTTTTGGATCAGTGGACACAGCAGAAGCAGAACAACTAGCTCCTCTATTAGGGTATGTCTACACTTCAGCATTATTTTGAAATATCTAATTTTGAAATAGTTAATTCGAAATAAGTTATTTCGAAATAACGTGTCTACACAAAAAATGCATTTCAAAATAGCGTTTTGCTATTTCGATACAGCGCATCCACACTGAGTGGACACTGAATCGCATTTAATGCCGGCTGGAACTAGATCTGGCAGGGCATCAGTTCAGGAGTTACTTTGTGTGGCTGCTGCCTGGGGCTAGCTGAGACCTGTGCTTAAAGGGACCCCTGCCCCGGACAGCCAGTTCTAAGGTTTCCCTGCTTTCTTGCCTACATCGCTGAGGGACAGCAAAGTATTTTTTTCTCTGCGTGCTCTGGTTGCCCTCACTTAGTACACCACAGCACTCTACAGCATGGAGCTGGAGCCACCCTTGGGCACTCTGGTGCTTCTCCTGGACATGTTGCTGCGAGCCTGGCAGCATGTTCTGCAGGCAGGAACAGTCTCCCTGGTGTGCCCCACCGGGGGCTTGTGTCTCATTTCACCTTCACATCCTTTCACTGACCCCTCCCTATCCCCCCTTCCTCATGTAAATAAAAACACATGTGTTTACAAAAACAAACTCTTTTTATTGAACAAAACTAGGGTGTGGGAGGAATGAGGGAGGGAGAGGGGAGACGAGGGGGAGAGGAAAGGTGAGGGAGGGAGAGAGGAGGGGGAAACCTGGGAAGAGGGAGCTGGGAGAGGCAAGGGGAGGAAGGGGAAGGAGAAGCTCAGGGTTGGGGGTCTTGCTGGCCCACCTGTCTCCCAGCACTACGGGTGCAGGGACCTTGGCATCCGTGGGGCAGAGTGGGTATGGAGGGTGGGGCAGGTAAAGAAGCGGGGGAGGAAGAAGCAGAAGGGGGAGCAGGAGTGGGAGGAGAAGTGGTGGCTGGGGTGACAGAGGGGTTGGGGTGGCAGATGGCACCAATTTCTGCACCAGCGTCTGCAGGTGGTCAGAGATGGCACAGCCCTGGTCAAGAAGCTCCAGCCAGCTCTCCCGCTGGAGCTACAGGTCTTCATGCACCCAGTAGTCCAGGGTGCGGTGGTGGAGGGCTGGCTGCTAGTGGCTTGCTGGCTCATGTTTTAGGGCCACTGGGTCAGGGGCAGTGACTGCTGGCTCTGGGTTGGCAGGCCTGGAGCTGGCACAGGCACTGTGTCCAGAGTCAACCCCTTTAAGGGCTCCGGGGAGGAGGGAGGGAGAGGAGTGTTCTTGGTTGAAGCTGGAGTGGCCACCAGAGCACCCTGGGAAGGCTGGAGGCCCCCTATTTCAATATAAGTGTGTACACAGCACTTATTTTGAAATAGCTATTTCGAATTTGGCATTATTCCTCTTGGAATGAGGTTTACCAAATTCAAAATAAGCGCTCCGCTATTTTGAAATAATTTCGAAATAGCAGTTTGACTGTGTAGATGCTAGTAAAGTTATTTTGAAATAACGACTGTTATTTCAAAATAACTTTGCTGTGTAGACATACCCATATTTAGCATCATCATGTTATCAAGCCTTTTCTGCTGTTCATATGTAGACTAAATTCATGTGTAGACTAATCCAACTTTGCTGGAACTATGTTGACTATACGGATCTGGTCCAAATGCTCACTATTTTTGTTTCAGCCTTCACTGGGATTTTTCAGTAAGTATTTTAGGTAAGTTCCAGTAAGTATTTTAGTTCAATCTACTCTGCAGACACTTGTATAGGCTATACAGAGAGGACTTGCTACAAACACTTACTTTCCAAAATGATGTAGATGCTGAAGAGGATTTTTAAAATTAATCTATAATACAAATGTTGTAGGTGTAAACAGCTGAATGGCTAAAAACACTGAGAGACAGATTCAGACCAATCATTTTACCCAGAAGTTCAGCAGCCAACAGCAATCATCAGCTATTTTTGAAACCTTCTACTACATAATCTCTGGCTATGTCTACACTGGCGCGTTCTCACACAAAAACTCTTTTGCGGGAGAGTTCTTCTGCAAAAACTCTTCCAGAAGAGAGCATCTACACTGGTATGTGCTTTTGCGCAAGAGCATCCTTGCCAGTGTAGATGCTCTCTTGCACAAGAAAGCTCTGATGGCCATTTTAACCCTAGGGCTTTCTTGCGCAACAAATTCATGTTGCCTGTCTACACTAGCCTCTTGCGCAAGAACAGTTGTGCAAAAGGGCTTATTCCTGAGTGGGAGCATCAGAGTTCTGGTGCAAGAAGCCCTGATTTCATACATTAGAACATCAGTTTACTTGCACAAGAACACGCTGCCAGTGTAGACAGGCAGCAAGTTTTTACACAAGAGTGACTGCTTTTGCACAAGATCGCACCAGTGTAAACACAGCCTTTGAGTATAAAGGAGTACAAAGTAGAGCTGAGCAAAAAATTGCTTTTTTTATGTTGTTTACGGGCAATTCTGAAAAATGCATTATGCAACAAATCACAAATGAAATTTTTGGCAAGTCAAAAAGTCACAAAAATTTAGTTTCAGGTCAAACAAAAAATTTTGTTTCTACAAAATCTAAACATTTCATTTTTTACTTGATTTTTTTCCATAAATTTAAAGAAAACTTGGAAGCTAAAATTCATTGGAACCAAAAAATCAAAATATTTCACTTCAAAATGCTGAAACAAACCATGTTTATTTTGGGGGAGAGGGGGACAAAAATCAACATGAATTAATAAAACATTTCCATGTCACCAAATTTATGTTTTTCACCAGAAAAAGTGTTTTGATCAGAAAATGTTGTCCAGCTCCAGTAGAGTTTGCTTGTTCCATGATCACCTAGCCAAAAACAATTTTATCCACAAAACTTTCATTTCTGGTTGACTTTCCATTGAAAATAGGTTTGGATGAAAAAATGTCACTTAGTTCAACCAAACAGCCATTGTTGCTACCAGAAGAGATTGGATGAAGAGTGTGGAGGCTACAGTAGTGGCAGCAAAGCAGTTCTGGTGCTGCTTCAAGACCTCATAAGTAGAGCCCTGGGCGGATACACAATTTGTATCTGCATCTGTATCCACTAAAATGAGTCACAAATATCTGCATCCATATCCATGGATGTTCATATCCATGGATATAGAGCAGATATCTGTAGATTATCGGGGCTCTAGTTCTTCCCACCCAGCTCCCAAAGGAACTCTATCTTACCTGGTCAGACTTTGAACTGAGAAGGAACTGGAGGATAGGCATGTTACCAATCCATTCACTGTTGAATTCCTTGTTCCAATGCCTTTAGATACCACCATGAGAGATGATGTTATAAAAACTTAAATAGCAGGAGCTCTGAGTCAGCACTTCTACAGAGAAACATTATACTAGATAATACCTTTTTCATTATAAAAACCCAATAACCTTTTGACATTGCAAGAGTACAAAACATTGACCTCTCAGTAGAAACCATTTGGAATTGACCTGTAAAGAAAACTAGCATATAGTTTTCAGACATGGCTCTTTAAAAAAAAATAAAAATAAATAAAGCTAAAAACTGAGTTTGAACATACATATTTTTATAGGAGACCAATCCAATACTGAATAACGTCATACAGAAACATTGCCTTTAGTGTGCTGTATATAGGTCCCCTATAGATGGTAGGGACCAGATTCTGTTTTCACTTTCATCAATGTAAAATAGGAGCAGCTCCATGGCAGTCAATGGAATTTTTCTGGTGAGAAAAGGATCAGGCTTTATACCTTAGAACTGAATGTATCATTCAATGGGTGAGAAAAAAAGCTCGTTTACCAAGCCAATACCATTTATTTCTTGCTGGTCATTCAGTGGGTGAGAAAAGAGCTCGTTTACCAAGCCAATACCATTTATTTCTTGCTGCGCTCAGTAGGTAAAACCATTAGAGGTAACACAAAACGTCCAGATTTGAGTATGCTTTAAAGCCTTCTTGCCCCTGGTTCTTGTTCACTTTTGTCACAAACACTTGCCTTTTGGCAAGAGTCCCAAAATAAGTGGAGATATATGTTGTAAAGTAACCACTAACTGCCTTTTCCTTCGGGCCAATATGCTATGATTCCTTTGTGGGAATCGATCTTAATGGTAAGGTCATTCCAAGGTGGTGATGGCATGAAGTTTAGTAGGGATTACTGCATATAGCCAGAGGTAGGGTGGGTAACTAACTCTTCACAGGAAAGCCGGCAATATCTTTAACAAAATACCTACAGTGTCCTCTTAAGTCATATATGGGCACCGCTGTCTTTTTTATTTTCTGTGATGTTCATTTCCATGTGGTTGAAAACAGGATTGTCGGTTCCTTCATCTGCCATGGTGAAAGGTTTCCAGTTCAAAACTTCCACTTTTTTATTCTAAAAAGAGTATATATTGTGAGGCATGGAATCACACAGATGCATACGCTCATGCTCCTACTTACACACACGGACTATTGCTCTTGTCTACTGCTGGATCCTTCCTCTCATTTAACTCTCACTCCCTGATGTTCTTGCTTCACAAGCAACTTATACACAGGCTCAGTAGAGGGAGGCATGAAAATATATCTCACACGACAAACAATTACATATTTTCAAAGGAAATGGGAAAACTGAGACCCAAGGAAGGGGAGAAGGGAGCAAAAAGTTGAGAGGAAATTATAATATTTCTCACTTATTCTGAGGGAAAACAAGATTAAATAAATAATTATTTACAATAGGTAAGGGCAAATTCTTGGTGACTGAGGTTTTCGAACCTGTCCAAATGAATTATGTGCCGAAATCCCATTGACTTTGAATGGGGCTTAGGTTGGTTTAAAGATACTGCCCATTTACACTATGGCCTCTTTACATCATGCTGACAGGGGACCTTACTCCTGAGGTAAATTTCATATTTAAATGTACAGGAGGTAAGAGTAACTACGTTCTTTTTTTTTTAAATCTGCTGTTTCAACATTTTCAATTTATTTAAACAAATCCTTTCTCAATGCTGAGCAAGGAGAGATTCCTATCAAGCTTTTCAAATAGGAAACAACAATTAAAAAGCAACCAGAGGAACTATTCAAACAGAAGACCAGCATCAATTTTTCTCAATATTGATTTAAAATTTTCAGGGAGGGGGTAATAGAGACATTTAGACTGTAGCAAAGAGAAAATATACTGACCAACGAAGTTTGCACAGAGCAATACCAGGATGAGATTTTTTTCTTCTGAGTTATGAGACTGAAAATGGAGAATCTGATTCTCCTCTGAAGGCCTGTTCCATTCAATGCCCATTGTAGTCTCTGTGAGTCTTTCCATTGATCTTTTGATGCTCTGGATTAGGCCTATAGCACAGTGATTCCCAACCTTTTTTATACCACGGACCAGCAAAGCCATTCACAAATTTTGGTGGACTGGTAACATTTTATTTGCATATCTGCATATTCATTATGCAAATAATGAATATGCAAATAAAATGTTACCAGTCCACCAAGGGGCTGCTGCAAACAGCCCCTCCCCATGTGGCAGCTGCTGGAGCTGAAGCCGGCTGCTGTGCAGCAGCTTAGGTGGCCAGGGTTTACCCCAGCCCTATCCCCTACAGCCACCACAAACAGCCAGCTTCAGCTCTGGTAGCTGCCGTGGTCCAGCAGCCATCAGTTCATGACCCGGCATCGGTCCGTGGACAGGAAGTTGAGAACTGCTGCTATAACACACTGGTGTTAATGAGGAGTCGCTCCGCTGAAGCTAAGAGAGTTTTACTGGTATGAGAGGGAGAAGAATCAAACCTGTACTTGGGAATTTTAGGACAGAGCAGGTGGATGGATGCATGTAGATAGAACGGAAAAAATAACCTGATATTCATTGTAACAGCCAGAATTTCTCTGGGTATATGAGGAGGATGTGTGGGTTTAATCACATACTTTGTTGTTGTCATTGAAAAATGTACTTAACACTTGTTCCTGTCATCATCAACCCCACCATGAGCTAGTGTTCTCCTAATCCTGCTGCCTGCCTGCATTTCATCAGTGAAAATGAGAATTTACTGACACCCCTGCTTCTGATAATGCATCTTCCTTACATCTAACTACACTTAAAAACTGAAATCTCCATGTGCCTAACCTGGCTCAGCTAGAATGGAAGGTGTCCACAATACACTGCCACAATAATTAGACGTTCATCAATAGTAATCATTTCACCCACTCTCCAGCCAGTTTTTGAGCTCCGTAACAAGGATCCAAGGAGAAAGTACTATGGCCACCTAGTCTGTGAGTATCTGCTTTCATGTGTACTTGCATGTTTAGTTTATGGCATTATGTCCTCATTTGGTATAAAGAGGAGGAGCTCTCTTGCAGTCAGAAGAGCTATGCAGATTTATTCTTGATATGGGGCTGGTCCAGTTTCTACATAGACAAATAGCATGTGATGTATCAATGAAACCTACCTTGACAGTGTATAATTACTAACACAAGGGATTTTGATAAGGGGAAGAGTCCACAACTTGGATCATCTTTAAAAGATCTCAGTACTGGCACACCCCACTATCCAATCACTGCCTTAGCCATTCTTTTTAGAGTGTGCTGAACATACGGACTCTAAAGGTGACATGCAGTTCATATTTTTTAAATATACTGCTAATTGCCATATCATGAGCCTGCTCTTCCCAGTGATGAGCAGTTACTTTCACTGAGACAACTCATGGGAGTGAATGATCCCCTAATTCAGCATTTCCCAAACTATGGGCCATGTCCCGGTACCAGGCCGCGGGAAAAAAATACCAGGCCTCAGCATGGCTGCCAGGAGGGGAGTGGGGCAGGCTGGGAGGAGGTGTTTGTTTGTGGGAAACCGGCCACCGGGAATCAGGGCTGTCCGGTGGAGATCGGGAGGGCAGAGGGAACGGGAGGCCAGCCGGCGGAAGCAGGGCTGGATGGGGAGGGGACTGGACGGGGGAGATCGGGAGGAGGAGGACGGGAGAACCAGCTGCCAGAAGCTGGACGGAGGCAGCAGGGCTGTCC